TGTTTTAATGTTGTATCTTAATCTTTTAAATTGCATTTTAATCAACTTGTTTTTATTATTGGTTATTAGCCGCCCTGAGCCCTGTCTTGGCTGGGGAGGGCGGGGTATAAATAATTATTATTATTATTATTATTATTATTATTATTATTATTATTATTCACGGAGGAGTACCAACATGTAAGCGAGCAAAGGAAAAAGAATTTGCGGCCGCTGGCCAGCGACGCAGAGGAAATGCCATCCTGGGGCTTTGGTATTTTGTTTTTAAGAGATGGGGTTCATAATCATGGGGTTCCTCAAACACACCTTCTGATTCTGAGGCCTTCCTCTGATGCCAGAGCTTGCCTTTTCTCCCTCTCTACTCTAGGGAGATAATGCTCCCTACACAGGGCATGTTCTCATGCACTGTTGTTACTATATAAGCAGCTCTCAATTTAGGAGGCGGTTACCTCAGGGTGATAGTGCCTGAAGTAAAAATTGCATATAATCAAAACACATTAGGTTCAATGGCAGGTGGGATTAGGTCTTTTTTCCCCCAGCACGCCCACCCCCTTCTTAATTTTTTAAAATTAAGCTAGGGTATGAAAATACGGGTCATCTCACTCAAGGTTTCTATAATTTGGTAACCTTGGGGAGTGGATATTTGCGTTATGAACCAGTCCAGAATTGTTCAGTTTGTTTATTTAGTTTTGGGGGTAAAAATGTAATTGAAACTTAAAATCACATTCTGTCCTTCAAATACATAATGGTAGTTTATGGAAAAAATATTAAAAACACAGTAAGATAACCATGGTTGGAATCCTGTAGCCCAGGGCCAGAATATGTGTGGTCCTCAGGATGCTGCTGGACTCCAGCTCCCATCACCCCTGACCAATGGCTATGCTAGCTGGGGTTGATTGCGTTGTAAAACAAAAATGTGCCCTTTTTCCCTTAAGGAGTATCCAAGAGCCCATATAGAGTCCTTATGTAGGTTCCCTATTGGTAGGAGAAAATAACAGAAGCCAACCAGAGAATATTGAGAAGCAAAGCAGCTAGTAAGCTTGATCTTTATTGATCTGTTGCAACAGGGTGCTCCCCTCACATGCAGGAAAGAAGGAAGAACCCAGAACAATGGCGTGCAAGGCCTTATATAGACATTTTAAATTCCCTGCCCTGGAGCTCAACACCGCCCCTTCATACATACAGAAGGGGTGTAACCCAAGACCACACCCCACAAACATCATATCTACATCACAGAAAAGGTGTTGTTTTTCCTGTCTGCCAGGTTATCTGATTGCCTTTCCTGATAGTCTGTCACCCATTAAAATGCTAATTACTAAATTCATGAGACAACGGGAAGGCTCCCTGACCCCCCTCCCTCCTTGCAGAGAAAACATTTGGGATTCAAAAATGATTTCAGGTCGGTCTTCCTGTGCTGATCTATGTAAGTGCTTGGTTGGTACACTTATGAACATTTAACATACAGTGATACCTCGGGTTAAGTACTTAATTCGTTCCGGAGGTCCGTACTTAACCTGAAACTGTTCTTAACCTGAAGCACCACTTTAGCTAATGGGGCCTCCTGCTGCCGCCGGAGCCCGATTTCTGTTCTTATCAGGAAGCAAAGTTCTTAACCTGAAGCACAATTTCTGGCTTAGTGGAGTGTGTAACCTGAAGCGTATGTAACCCGAGGTACCACTGTATATCTAAGACCTCAAAATTCCTATCACAATTGCAATTGGGAGTACAACAACATTTGCAGGGTCACAGATTTACCACCCTTCCTTTGCACACAAAACTGGAAGGAAGCTTCATTGAAAGCCAGTATTCTTCAGAGTATGCCTTGGAGTGCATTGTTGCATGCTTATAACATTGAATCTTGTTTTGTTTTGTTTTGTTTTTTCCTTGCAGAGATGTGATCCCAAAGCAAAAGGGTAAAGGAATATCTGTTCACTAGTAACGGTGTACATAGAGTTGGATTCAGAATGAATTTCTAAGTCTGAATCCAACCTGTACTCTAAAGCTGTTAAGCAGAGGCTTGCCAAACCTGATAAGCAACTTATGCTGTGTACACATTGCCAGTTTAAAACTCAGTGAGGTCATTTCCCTTCTGTGTTTCAAACCTGATTTGCACATTGTAGACATCAATAGGGTTGGATGTGTTATATACTGTCTGTCCCCCCGCCCCCAACTAGTGGGTAGAAAGGGGGCATGGATGCCTTCATGTGGCTTAGGTTTTAAAATTGAAGCTGGTTTGGAGGAAAACACATCAAAACACAGTATTTCTGAAGAAACTGCAGGATAGATATGGATTGTGACTGTCCGTACAAGGTTTGTGTGAAGTACAAGGTTTCACAAACTGGGGATGGAGTGCATTGGATGCAAAGTAAACAATGTAATAACAATAATAAATTTTTATTTATACCCCGCCCTCCACAGTCAGGGCCAGGCTCAGGACAGCTAACACCAAATATAAATTACAATAAAACGTAATAGAAAACAACAACAAACAAAAAAACAGTTAATTAAAATACGGCTTAAAATGCAGCTTAAAATGCAGCCTCATTTTAGTAAGGTAAAGGTAAAGGTACCCCTGCCCGTACAGGCCAGTCTTGCCAGACTCAGGGGTTGTGCGCCCATCTCACTCAAGAGGCCGAGGGCCAGCGCTGTCCGGAGACACTTCCGGGTCACGTGGCCAGCGTGACATCGCTGCTCTGGCGAGCCAGAGCCGCACACGGAAATGCCGTTTACCTTCCCGCTAGAAAGCGGTCCCTATTTATCTACTTGCACCCGGGGGTGCTTTCGAACTGCTAGGTTGGCAGGCGCTGGGACCGAGCAACGGGAGCGCACCCCGCCGTGGGGATTCGAACCGCCGACCTTTCAATAGGCAAGCCCTAGGCGCTGAGGCTTTTACCCACAGCGCCACCCGCGTCTCATTTTAGTAGTAGCCCATAAATCAAGACCATAAAGGGCAGAAACATCAGATATTCACCCGAACCAGCTGTCCATGCTGGTCCTACATGGGCCAGCAAAAAAGCCAAGGGACAGAGAAGTTGGGGCCAGTGCTGAAAAGGCCCTGGCCCTAGTTGAAACCAATCTAACCTCCTTGAGGCTCGGGACCTCCAAAGTGTTGTTATTTATGGACCTTAAGGTCCTGTGCGGGGAATACCAGGAGAGGCAGTCCTGTAGGTACGAGGGTCCTAGGTACAGCCTTATTCTGACTCCACTGGTTGCTTGGGAATCCTGTGACCTTCCATATGTTGTTAGACTACAACCATCCGTGGCTATATGCCATGCTGGTTGAGGCCAATGGGAGTTGGAAGCCCGCTCAGCACCTGAAGGGCCACACTTTCCCCATCCCCACTGCAACGGAACATTTGTTTCAAGAATTCGTTCCTTGCTAGGGATTGCGCTAATAAATGGTAAACAGTTGGCCTAAGCAAAGAGCTGTTGGCAAAAATATGGGAGAGCAAGCAGATATTAAGGGACCGGTGGCAGTACTAACCACGTAAGTCTACATGGCGGGAAATGACCCTTGTCTCCACAGCTGGATTTAGGTTTGATGAGGCCTTAAGCTACTGAAGGTAATGGAGCCTTTTATATGTCCAGCTGCCCTTTGTCAACAACAAATTGTCACTGTTTTTTTGTGTTAAATATATGCTATATGGTAATTTATGGGTATCTAAAGAACATGTTAGGGACGCGGGTGGCGCTGTGGGTAAAATCTCAGTGCCTAGGACTTGCCGATCGTCAGGTCGGCGGTTCGAATCCCCGTGGCGGGGTGCGCTCCCGTTGCTCGGTCCCAGCGCCTGCCAACCTAGCAGTTCGAAAGCACCTCCGGGTGCAAGTAGATAAATAGGGACCGCTTACTAGCGGGAAGGTAAACGGTGTTTCCGTGTGCTGCGCTGGCTCGCCAGATGCAGCTTGTCATGCTGGCCACGTGACCCGGAAGTGTCTGCGGACAGCGCTGGCCCCCGGCCTCTTAAGTGAGATGGGCGCACAACCCTAGAGTCTGTCAAGACTGGCCCGTACGGGCAGGGGTACCTTTACCTTTTTAAAGAACATGTTGGGACGCAGGTGGCGCTGTGGGTAAAACCTCAGTGCCTAGGACTTGCCGATCGCATGGTCGGCGGTTCGAATCCCTGCGGTGGGATGCGCTCCCGTCGTTCGGTCCCAGCGCCTGCCAACCTAGCAGTTCGAAAGCACCTCCGGGTGCAAGTAGATAAATAGGGACCGCTTACCAGCGGGAAGGTAAACGGCGTTCCGTGTGCTGCGCTGGTTCGCCAGATGCAGCTTGTCACGCTGGCCACGTGACCCGGAAGTGTCTGCGGACAGCGCTGGCTCCCGGCCTATAGAGTGAGATGAGCACACAACCCTAGAGTCTGGCAAGACTGGCCCGAACGGGCAGGGGTACCTTAAAGAACATGTTGCCATGCAGCCAATCCATGCAGAATGTAGGCACCCTATATAAAGAAAAGAGCAAACCAGTGATATTTTAGGGAGCAGGATAGCAGGCGGGGTCCATACTTACATCATAGGAGCCTACACAACACAAAACACCGTTGCTCTATGTAGGTTTTATTTTATTTGTTTTTTATCTTATATTTTGGAAATGTACATCCAGGTTTTTTTCCTTCAAATTTTTCTGGTAAGCTATAACTTGTTTAGCTTATACGTAAATCCGGCAGTGCCCTTCTCCTTCGGCTAAAAGTAAACCCACTGAAAGCGAACACTGCGTTTCAAGCAGCTAAAGTCTTTGCGCCTCGGGTTCGGGACTTGTTGCGGGCGAAGTATCAACGATCCAAAACTGGCGGAATGGCCTAAAAGGGGGAGAAGGGGGAGCAGTTGCCAGCATTTAATCATTATTCCGGGGTCTAGGTAAAATATTCATAACAACTGCAAAACCTGCCGGTGTGTTCCTCCCCCGTTGATTCCCGCCCCCCGCCCATCAAGCCACAAAATGTTCACTTCTTCCTGCTCGTTCTATTTTTCCTCTCCCCCCCCCCCGCTTACAGGGATAATGGCTTCTCCCAGAACGCTGCCTTGTGTTTGCGGAAGGGGCTGCTTGAGGTCTGTTTCCACTGGGTGAAGGCGCAAGCAGCGGTTCCCTAGAAGCTGCTCCAAGTTAACATCTGCTGAAGGTTGGGGCGGGAGAAGGAGGGCAGCATGAGTGCCAAGGAACCGCTGCTGGGAACGCTAAAAGGTGAGGGGACGAGCGGAGAGAGAGGGGCGGTTTTGGAGGGGGCGGGGTGCCAGGTTTTGGCTGAATGGAAAAAAGTGCGAGAACCATACACGCATCTTTCGGTCAGGGTATATACAGGTGTGTAGTTACTGCCACACGATTCTCCATAGGGATGGGGAGTCAGGTAGAGTTATATTCTTATTTTGTCCCTGGTTGCCATGGGGAACAAATGTGTTTTTTAAAAACTGTCAGAGCGAAGAGATCCGTACTCAAGCGTAAAAACTCCCCATCCTAAACGTGTTTATTGATTGAGAATCTCAAGTGATTACAGTGGATCTTAACCTAACTTAGTCGATTGAAGTTTGGCTTTATTATTGCGCTCACCTTAACTTTGTGGGGCATCGGAGAAATGGGAAATAGAAGCTCGAGAGCTATGAGGTAACTGTCCTGGGAGCAAATGCTTACAAAGAGTTTTATTTATTTACTTACTTCTTTAGTTCATTAAAAAAATATTATACACCACTTGATTGTTAAGGGAAAAACCTCCCTCAAAGAGTGATATCACCTAGTGATATATATGCTGCTTAGATGCTATTGTGACAGATGTCAAGTTATGTTCCAGAAGGCAGATTGGGGTAATCCCCTTTTTTGTGTTGGAGAAGAATGGTAGTTCAGTGGCAGGGTATCTGTTTTGCATACAGGATAGTCTCAGGTTGAATCCCCAGCATCTTCAGGGTGTGCAGGTAAAGACCTCTGCTTGAAACCTTGGTGAGCAGCTGCCAGCCAGTGTTGACAATATTGGGCTAGAGGGACTAATGTTATAAGACAGCTTCTTATGTTCCATTTTTATATTAGGAGGGTCCTCAGCATGCAACTAAGAAATATCTCCCCACTCCCTCACCTTTGAATACTCTGCCATGCTTTGGAAAAAAATATTTAGTACTTGTATCTGGTCAGTTTATTTAAAGCCCCATCTGAAGTTGTGACCACTTTTGATTCCAGAAAAAGAGGCAAACACGTAACTAAGGGACACCTGTCTTCCTTCCTTATTGCCATGTTTGTTCTAGAATCTAGATAATGAAATTACACTATTATGGGAACAACTTACTGGGGAGGAAGTGTGCAGTCACTGGAGCTCCACATAACACTTTTTCTGGAGAGGGAAATACTAAAAAGGAACTATAACAGAACACACTCCTATGCACTCCTATACTCAAAAGTAATTCCCACAGTGTTCAGAGGGGCTTGATACAGGTAAGCATGCATATGATTGCAGCTTACATTGATACAAAAATAATGTAGATTATTTTTCTCTGTGGATGTAGCATTTTACATTAAAATACAGGACTTGTATTATACAGGACAGGTGGCAACCCTAATTCCTAATGTTGCCGCCTGTTGCTTTTTTTATATTTTTACTCCATTATATACAGCTAGGTGCACGTCTACCTCTCCACTCAATATTAGTTTAGCATAAACTGATATCTCCAAAATAAACTTTAGAGGAATGGCCAGTGTCATGTAATGGTTAGAGCATTAGACTGGGATTCTGGAGTCCAGGGTTCAAATCCTTTGTCACCCGTGCAGTTCACGCAATGACCTTGGGCTATTCTCTGCGCAGGGTAGTTGTGATAAAATGGAGGGGGTGCTAAATCACATATATCACCCGAAGCTCTTTAGAGGTAGGGTGGAATATAAGTAGAAGGAGGGGGAAATTGGCCTAAACATCGTATTATGGGATGGGTGGTGGTGGTGAAGTATTGAATCCAATGCACTGATAATCCAACAAGTAAAAGAGAAGCTTTGTTGAAAGGGAACATCTTTCTCAAATTTGCCTCAAGTTGAATGAATGGGTGGAGTACAGCAGTCTAAAGAACAGTCAATATTTGCCTAAGCCGGCTCTTGGTTCAGGACTTCCATCACATTTAATTATTTATTTGTTTAAAATAGTTCTTTATAGCCCTTCGGCTCCAACAGCACTAGAAGTGGGTTACAGACATAAAATAAAATATGATATGCACTGTGTTCACTGGGAGGTTTTTCTGAAATGGATGAGAGCTGCCTTTCATTTCAGATGGGATTGTTCAGGAGAACATCCTGGAGCTAACTGTGCTGTAAGGACCTTTCCAAACTGAGTGAATGGGTGGCAAAATGGCAAATGCAATTCAGTGCAAACAAGTGTAAAGTGATGCACTCTGGGGCAAAAAAGGGCTTAATTTCACATATATATGCTCATAGGGTCTAAAGTGGCAGTAATGCACCAAGACAAGAGACTTTGGGGGTACGAGTTCATAGCTCAATGAAGACATCAGCCCAGTGTGCAGCAGACTTGAAAAGGGCAAATTCCATGCCGCAGATCAGCAGGAAAGGAATTGAAAATAAAACTGCTAATATAATACCACAAATATGTGGTACAACTGCATTTGGAATGCTGTGTACAGTTCTGGTTACCTCATCTCAAAAAGAATATTTTAGAGTTGGAAAAGGTTAAGAAAAGGATAAATAAAATGATGGGGGGGGAGCAACTCTCTTGTGAAGAAAAGTTGCAGCATTTGGGATTTTTTAAGTAGGAGACCATGGAACTTTACAAAATTATGTATGGCACAGAGAAAGTGGATACAGGAAAGTTTTTTTCTTTCTCATAAGACTACAACTCATGGACATTCAGGGAAGTCAAATGCTGGAAGATTCAGGGCAGAAAGAAGAAAGTCTTGATGTAGTGTGTGTTAAACTCTGGAATCTGTTAGTCTTCAAGGTGCCACAAAACCTTTTTCTATTTCTGCTGCTGCAGATGGATAAAGAAGGCTACCTCTCTATAAATAGGAACAGTACCTCCCAGTTTTCAAATTATTTGAAATATACCCCCCACTCCCCAAAGGTTCTGAGAACTGGCAAAAGGAAAAGAGAGCTTTAGCAAGGTGGTTGCATAATGTGCCTCGGACCATGCCTTGGCACCCAAAGTTGTGTTCTCAGAGATTCTGTACATGCCTTGATCAGGCAAAGAGTAGCCTTGTGGTTTCTGATTCGCAGAAGTCAGCAACCAGGTGGCCCTGGACTAATTCCGGCTGTGTGGGGTACACCATCTAGCCCCTCCCCTCCAATTGCCAACCCAGAGGCAAAGGGGAGCTGGGAAGTTGGTTACTTCTGTAGCATCAGGGCATGATAGCTAACTCTTCTTCTTTGGAGGGTGGGATTGGGGAATTGCCCTTCTTAAAGTTACCTTCCCGAGCTCTGTACTATAGTCTTATCGATTAGGGCTTTGGTAGCTTAAGAGAAGAAAAGTATAGCAAAAATACAAATATTAGATTTTAACTCATTCTATTGCCAGTCTGTATTTGAAACCTCTCTCTCTTCTTGCAGTATGTATCCTCAACCTTCAGGGGAGCAGCAGCCCTTACACAGACACCTCCCCACACTTACAGTCCTTTTGTGAGGTCCTGGAAATGATCCTTCGCAAAGGAATAAAACGTGAGTGGCTTTTTCTGGACAGTGTTTGAATGCTGTGCATGGAGATTTTCCTTTGCAGGGAGCGGGTTGCACTGCAGTTGGGGGCAATAGTGGGACAGGACCAGCCTTACAAGGAAAGGTGGGCTGGAAGTATTTTTAAGTAATAATAATCCCTGAAAGTTCACCTCCTCCTATATGTATCTCCCTGGATTTTGACTTCAGAGGCCCTAGCCCTGTGAAGCGGATCTCACTGCCAGGTAAGGTGCAGTCAGTGCCATCTCTGCTGGTGGGGGCCCCAGGGCACGACTCCCTCCCCCTATCTGCCCCCTCCCTGCTGTTGTTGCCAGCTACTGTTGCCTCCTCTGCCTCATCATTGCTACCACCTGCTTACATGGCAAACAGACCCAGTGAGCAATCAGGCAGTGGCAGCTCCACCTCCTTCTCACCACCACCTTCTTGCAAGAGTGAGAAGCAGATAAGTGGTGAAGAAGCAGGTCCCGGGGGCTCCAGTCACTGAGCCCCTCCTGAGGTGTGGGCCTTAGGCAAGGGCTTAACCATGCCCACCCATGATGCTGGCCCTAAGTGTTATTTGTTGCTGGTGGTGGTGATGATGACACTTCAGTAGCCGAATACTGTTCCCAGAGAGGTTCATCTGGTGGCTACTTTGGGGTCCTTTGTAGCCAGGAAAAGATATTTTTAAATTTTTTCCAGCCCTTTTAAGACCACTAATCTCATAAATCTTTTATTGTACGGTCACACCTCAGTTTCCGATCGTCTCCATTGCCGTACGTTTCGGCTCCCGAACGTCAACGGAAGTAAGTGTTCCAGTTTTCAAACGTGCCTCGGAAGCCGAACGTCCGACGTGGCAGACAAGCAGCTTCCGATTGGCTCTTCCGATTGCAAGAGCCAATCAGAAGCTTCCAAAAGTAGGGTTTCCAGGGTTCTTTCCATCAATGCTGTTTAAAATTGTTGAGGATTGAAGGGTTGATCAGCCATGTCCCATGAGGGAGTTTGCAGTGGCAAATTAGACGACCACTGCAGTACAGAGACCGAGGTGGGAGAGGGATTCGTGTCTTGTTGCAGATATCAGAAATTTACATAAGTTGCAAAATCTAATTGCAGTTTCTGCTGGTGCAAAGGCGTTTGGTGTGTGTTGCAGTAGAAAACTTCACACTTGCCAGCCTTTCACCATGCACAGATTGCTGATGCGTGCACAGAGTGAACCAGACCCTTCCTGGCAGCGCCCTAAACCCCCAAGGAATGTGTCCAGTGTAAATGTGCTCTAACTGAGCACCTTCTGGTGCTAAGGAAATGGTGACTGTAATCTTTGGTTGTGCGATGCAGCACTTTGCTGTGCTGCTTTTCTTCCTAAAGGAAAGTCGTCTTGTCTTCCTCAGAGCCTGTTCTGGGGTTCAAGAGAAAGGACTATTGGCACTGGCTGGAACTGCTTCCGCAAGTAACCCATCCCAGGTGGGTGGCCTGTAGTAGTACTTTATGATACTGCAAAAGTAAGAGGAACTTGATTTTCTGCTTTACCTTTCTGTATATAAGCATGATTACAGCTACAGTGGTACCTCAGGTTAAGTACTTAATTTGTTCCGGAGGTCTGTACTTAACCTGAAAATGTTCTTAACCTGAAGCACCACTTTAGCTAATGGGGCCTCCTGTTGCTGCTGCGCCGCTGGAGCACGATTTCTGTTCTCATCCTGAAGCAAAGTTCTTAACCTGAAGCACTATTTCTGGGTTAGCGGAGTCTGTAACCTGAAGCGTATGTAACCTGAAGCATATGTAACCTGAGGTACCACTGTACAGGCTTTTATTAATTTTCTGCTTTTTTTATCCTCCTCTCACAATTCTTCTTTTTTCACCTGATGTCCATAAATGAGTAACTATGGTGTTCATATCCTGTTTGTGGCCGTCTGGTTGTCCGATAGGCATCTTGTTGGACACTCTGAGAAATGGGATGCTGGGCTAGATGAGCTTTTGCCCTGATCCAGCAGGGTTCTTCTTACACTCTGAGGTCGCCCCACAATTAGAGTTGCTCATAGTTTTTGTAATAATACCCGTACGGTTGTTTGGTTTTTGGCATCAGCTTCTTTTAAGTTCAAGAGTGTGTGTGTCTCACACAATGGCCATTTTCCTTTAGACTTCCATTTTACAGGGACCGTTTTTGAACTTTAAAAGCTCTCAGTCACACTGACATCACCATGATGCCAGATGACTGACAGATGGGTGGTCCTGCTCACCTGTCCAAGTTGGCCTGTGGTGGGAGTGGGGGGTATTAGGAATCTGACCTGCCAGCCGGATCCAGTCCCTCACCCATGCTTCACAGGGGAGTCACAATTCCCAGAATCCTTCATGCTGACTTTTGAGGGGTATCAAGGAAAGGATGGCAGGGGGGCGCATAACTTTTTCAGAAGAAGAAGAAGAAGAAGAGTTTGGATTTGATATCCCGCCTTTCACTCCCTTTAAGGAGTCTCAAAGCGGCTAACAATCTCCTTTCCCTTCCTCCCCCACAACAAACACTCTGTGAGGTGAGTGGGGCTGAGAGACTTCACAGAAGTGTGACTGGCCCAAGGTCACCCAGCAGCTGCATGTGGAGGAGCGGAGACGCGAACCCGGTTACCCAGATTACGTGACTACCGCTCTTAACCACTACACCACACTGGCTCTCCGATATCTCCATTTGAAGTGACTTGAACGTGGTTTTTGTTTCTGTACCCCATGATAACAAAGTCTTTTCTTCCTATAGCATGACCCTCCTGTCAATGATGATTGAGAAAACTAATTCCTGTGAGAAGGTGCTGACAGCACAAGGACGAGGGCGGTACTTCCTGCGCCTGGCTTTGAATAGGAAGTTACTAGCTGTTGCTGTTAAGCAGTTGATCAGATCTTCCAGGCTGCTTGAGGTGGGGACATGACGTAATTCAGAGCAATTAAAAGGAGAAGTTATTTTGAATAATAAGAGTACTCAGATACCTGTCTTTGTTACGCTCTTTTCTTGGGGCCTCTGTTGAGTGGACACATAAGTTAGTAGGTGTGCTTTGCTAAAGACCTGGTCTGCGGGATATTCCTGTATTCACCATGTTTATAATCTTGAAACCAGTGCTGATTTTTAAATGTACTCAGTCTAAGGCTAATGTTCTTTAACAGAAAGAATCTGCAATTGTTCATTATAACTTGGCAGTTAAACCTATGACCCCATTTGGGGAAGAGCCGTAACTCAGCGGCAAAGCATATGCTTTACTTACAGAACATCTCAAGTTCCACCTACAGGTAGATGTGGCATATTCCTTCCTGTGCCCTTGGAGAGCCAATTGCTAGTTAGTGTGAATAGTACTGATTGAGGTGGACCAATGTCCTGGTTTAGTGTTAGACAGCTTCCTGTGATCCTGCTAGTGGTAATACTTATCTCCTAAACTTGGGGACGACGACCCTCAAATCCCAAACCTAAATTAATGCTCCTTTCTAGATATTATGATGGTTAATAATAGTTTCCTGTTCCTGATGTGTACGTACCTTTGTGGTCAACTTATTTAAATTATTATAATTATTCAGAGTTGTTTTTATTTCAGTGGTATGATCCAATGACCTCCATCCTGGGCAATGAAGACTTATCTGGTAAGAGTCATCTCTGTACACTCATTGCATTGTGCAAGAGAGCAGGTCATCACACTGATGGAGTGGACTCTTATTCTCCAAAAGCTTGTGCTATATTAAATGTATTAGGCCTTAAGGTGCTAGAAGACTCCTTGTTGCTTGGCTACAAAATGCATTAACATGGCTGCCTCTGGAAGTTATAACAAGTGCCCTGAGAGTCATTTTGCATTCTGTTGTAGCACAGTATGTTACTGAAATTTATTGTGCCTTGCTTTATAACAGTCTTGCTTTTGAATTACTGGGTTCTGCACTGTACAAAGTTGAAAAGGTACCAGAGCTCAATGGCAGCATTCTTGATGTCTAAATTTATTCTGCACTGGTGTTAAGGGCCCATCTTCACCATACATCTTAAACAGGGGTGTCCTAACCTAGTACCAGAGCGTCCTAACAAGTCTAAATGCCCTTAGCCTAAAGTGGTATGATACTGTTTTAAATGTATAGGGCAAATGATGCCCAGGTAAGGGGCAGAGTAAATGTAGCACTTTAAATGGCCCTCCTCCAGTTTTTATAAGGAATCAGGAAACTTTCTGACACACAAGTCTGTTGCCAACATGTCTAGTTTGCCCAGTGATGTGTTGCATATTGGCTACATAATAACCGAATTTTATTATGAAAAGGATGCAATTAATGTTGTTGTTTGTTTGTTTTTTTTTAAAAAAAACAACCTAGCACCCCCAAGGTTGCTAATTATAAAGTTGTGAATGGGCATATTTGTTTCAATAAAGTACAGGCATGTTGCAGGACCAATGTAGATATGATATTCTGCACAGCCCCACTGTGGAATCTCATCCAACAACAATGCTAGGTGATAAGGTGGTTAAGGCCGTAGACTTGAGTTCTTTGTGTGCCCTGTTAACCCGTGGCATCCAGGATGCTGCTGAGGCCCTCTACCTGTGAAAAGGCATGCAGCCTCTGGTAGCTCCACGTTTCCCTTGCCAGTGAATTCTGCTGTGCCCTCCCTCCACATCAGTGGCTGGTTTTTGTCTTTCTCATTGTGACACCCTCCTTTCTGGGCTCACAGATTGTCAGGTCCTTTTATAAGCTTTGCTGGCAAGGCAGATGCACCGTTTCATGATTGCCTTGGAGGCGCTATCTGTGTGGTATGTAACAACATCTGTTTTGAGCTCTGGGGTTATTAAAATCATCCTTAACCTCCAGCTAGTCAATGTATTATATAGGTTTCTGAAGTGCCAGACGTGTCGAGATTGTGCCATTGCTGTCTGGAGGCCTAAAAAAATAGGATGAAAGCCTTCATGCCGTTCATAAGCTTGCACATTCTTACACCAAAAGTGTGTGTGTGTGTGTGTGTGTGTGTGTGTGTGTGTGTGTTAAGTAACACCGGCAGGTTTCCCCATAACGAGCCTTTCAAAATGCAAGCAACTGAATCTTCTTCAGGACTCATTAAAATTGTGGCTCATTATTTGTTACTTCATTAAGGGTAATCAGTTACAGGAGTCTGCTGTTTTGAGTTTTATGTTACTCCCTTTTGTCTTGTTTCCACATTTTTCTTCCGTTACTCCTCTTCTCAGCTTTTTCCTCAATCATGTTGTTGTAAATAGTAAACGTAAGTGTTCTGTAGTATTGCTGAGGATTGATCTGTGACTTTTCCCGGCCCCTTCACCCTTCTGTTTCACCTCTCCCACCAATAATTGTCCATGTGCAGCAACAAAGAAGTCCGCTTCACACTTTGCCATGTTCTATTAGGTCATTTTATTTACAGCCTTCCAAAGAGGTCAAGGTCTCTAATCTATGTGTTTAAATCTTTGTGTGTGTGTGTGACAAACACACATTTCCAACAGCTCTTACGTTCTAAGCACCCAGGGAGCTGGGACTAGCCATGGGTCTCTAACCATGTGCGCGCACAATAGTAGTAAGCACGTGTTTGCCTTCATTACATGGGAAGCAGATCACAGTGGCACCAGGAGGCATGAAGGTAATTCTGGGGAAGGGTAATGTGTTGTAGATTAAAGTGCAGAAAAGGGCATTTCCTTACCTGTTTTCTATTAGAATATCATCCCAAAAGCTATTTATATAGTGCTTTTAGTGACTTTTCCTTATCACTGTCGTGGGATCAGCTACTGGGTCAGGCTTCATTTAACAACTTCACCTGGAAGGCAGTTGAATTCTGGACACTGAATTCCCCACAATCTGGTTTGAGGAGATGAATGCTAAGTGGCGATGAGACCTTATTGCTGTGGTTCCTGGGTGTGAGGCAGGCTTCCCTGAGGAGAGGCAGGTAATTGCTTGGGGAAATGCAAGTCCCACACAGCCGCTGCTCATATTTTTAAAAAAAATTATTTAAATCTATGGAGATTCATATGGTTCAGAGCAGCACAGATGTCACTTACAAGCTGACAGTGTGACATGTATAGCTTCATAGGAAGGTGACTGCCTGAAGCTTCCAGCTATGTGCTTAGATCCAGAGTCACCACCAATCTGCTGCTTTAGATTCCCAGAGTAGCTATGGAGGGATTGCAGACCTCTACACAATTCTAACTGTGTAAGCAGCTGCTGAATCCTTCTCGTGTATACGGCTTGATTGAGCCTGTGGGCAAAGTTCCCATCTCGCCTTCTCAACCGGTTGGTGCAACCTGAGTGACCTCACACACCTGCCCACCAAGGCATGATGCAGCTGATCTGTGGGAACCACCGTTACTATTTGTAAAGATTTTATTTTCTGATACGTTTGCCTGTTCAATCTGCGTGAGGTACAAGTGAGTGGCGCCAGCTGAGAAACTTGCCTTTGTTCGGTGTTGGTTACATGTTTGAAAGGCTCAAATATTATTTTAGGGAGACTTGCTTCCATTGCAAGTTTGAGATTTCTTGGTTCGTGTTCTCAGTGTGTCCCTTGACCTACCGATAAATGAAGATATAAAGTTGGTCAGAAACCTGGCAGCAATTTTTTATTCTCTTATTTCCTCCTTCCAGAGCCTTTCCTCTCTCTGATGCTGGTGGTGACAGAAATGAATTTCTCCCTAGATTTGCAGGTACAGTAGTTGATGATTTGGGGACATAAGTTTCATGCAGCTTCCACTGCTTAATACCCTCCAGATGTTTCGATTTACAACTCCCAGCAGCTCCACGGAGCACATCCTGGCTGGTTCTGACAAGACGTGTAGTCTGAACAAGGCTGGCAAAGGCTGGATTAATAGCTGTATTTTCCCATCTTTCCTTTTAACCTCTGGCTTGACCTCTCATAGTTTGCAATTCTTTCTGTTTGTAGAATTCCAGTTTCTTGGATGAAAGCTGGCAACTTCCGGTAAGAAGCTTTAGTCCTCTCTCTCAATACCCCCTTTTGCACAATTCATGATATTCTCCCATCTTGCTGCTTAAAGATAGGGATGGCACCATCTGTTTTACACCTGTAGCAACAGGCCAAAAATGGCGCCTCTACTCTGGAATGGAACTTTATGTTTATGAGGTGGTTGTTTTCTATTTACATTTTAATGTCTCACAAGCATGGAGGTTTGAGGCAGGGAAATGGTAACACCGCTGGAATCTCTCTGCTTGATTAAATCACTTTGTGGCTCTTTGTGAATTTTTAAAGTGCTTTATGGGTCTTTCATTCAACCTTTTACCAAAGTCCTATTTGAGAAACTTGAACCCTATGTCCCTCTGAACCAAGTCTGAACCCGAGTCCATTGACAGCTACACTTAGAATTTTAAATCATTGTACTTTGACAACTTCAGCTATACTGAAATGCTGTAGGGCTCTGGCTTCAACTAGGCCACAGAACAAGGATTCCAGTTTGTATCAATCTAAGCTGTTTTTAAATGTGTGTGCATCTTTCCGTTTGTGGTATTTGGGGTAGGGGAAAGGGTCTGTGGTATGTATTTGAAGTACTTCTGCACTGCCAAAATCAGCCTCAGGTTGACCTCATGAAGCGATGGGGACTCTGTGACACTCCAAGTATTGGTGGACTTCAACTCCCATTATTCCTATTTATTGGCAGTAATGATAGGGGACTGATGGGAGCTGGAGTCTTAACTGCATCTGGAGAATCACAAATTCTCCATCCTTGGCTTTGTGACACTGGCCTGTGGCTGATTTTATTTTTATTATTTTGCTGTGTGTTATCAGTAAAGACAGGGCAAGACTATGCTTGGTCTGCTTGTCTGAGTCTAGCAGCATCTCTGGGCTTTGATCATTTGCTCTGCAGATTAGGGATCATTTAATTTAAGATGTGGTGATATCTAAAAGTGGATTGCACTAGAAGCCTCTAACCCTGAAGTCACACGGTATAGCATCAAGACAGAGTTTCATCCCAATGAGCCTTTTGCAGATAAATGGAGAACTTGAGGCTTCAGGGCCTTCCACCGCCTTCCTTTAAAGCCAACGCCCCTATAAGAAGCAAAATTTCTCATCTACACCAAGGCTCCAAAGGAGGATTTATTCAAGCTTGCTGGATACCACACTGATAAATACTGCTTTCTAGGTGTGCCTGACCTACGAAACTGTCCCCTGCAGGGAGCTGGGAATGGTGCTCAGGTAAGAGACCTGGCACATCCTTACGTTGCTTTGATCTTCCTCTGCACAAAATCCATTGTTTTAAATAAATATCTGGGTGTGGATCTGTAAGATAAAGCCCATAGGGAACAATGAGAGTTGGTCATTGAAACGAATGTCAGCCTGATACAGTTTTGTGGAGTGTATTCCGCTTGTGCAAAAGGCATGGAGCTAGCAAGGGGCAGGGCCTCTCCTAGGCCTGGAAATTCCATTCATCTCCCTGCCTGACTTCTGAGATTTCACCAGCCATTGCCCACATTCATTCAGACTAATCATAGAATTGTAGAGTTAGAAACGGCCCAGAGGGTCTTTTAGTCCAGCCCCCAGCAATGGAATCTTAACACGCGGTCCCCCATCCTATTTGAAACCATATCGGATCCTGATTCACTTTGCAAATGTGCTAGTCTTTGCAGCCATAAAAGGATACAAAGGGAAACCGCCATGGTTTGATAGTTGGACTATAAAACGCTGGAAATTCAAGCGCAAATGCACATTCAGCTGCAAAGTTTGCCGGGCAAACTTGGGCTAGTCACTATATCTCGGCCTAAACCAGGCATAGGCAAACTCGGTCCTCCAGATGTTTTGGGACTACAACTCCCATCATCCCTAGCTAACAGGACCAGTGATCAGGGATGATGGGAGTTGTAGTCCCAAAACATCTGGAGAGCCGAGTTTGCCTATGCCTGACCTAAACTACCTCACAGGGTTATTGTGAGGAGGGAGGGAGGGAACCGTGTATTCTCTGCGAAGCTCTTTGGAGGGAAGGCAAACTAAAAATGTAACCATAAACTTGGATTTTAAAAACAAAGCCTGTCATTTGCAATATGCTGAATTCTGTACCCAGTAGCAAATTCTGTGCTCGTTCAGAATGACTGAGTGCCCTCGCCCTTGGTTATTTGTAACTTAAGAGCAGCGGCTTTGACAAACCGTGACCTGAGCCTGTGCCTAGCAATAAAGATTAGCGCTTTCTGCAAGGTAGAAATCCTAGTGTTGACAAGGGAGTTCAGCCTACTGCTGTGCAACATGTAGTCCTCAGGCCGTACATGGCCTTTTAGAGCACTTCTGAGAGGAGCTTGTAAACCCCCAAGAATCCCAATCAACAGCATTGCAGAAGGAAAAAATCAGATGGGAATAAGTGCAAATGCCACAGAAACCAGCTAAGAAGAGTTCCAATGATTATTTGATTTTTTTCAAATCATTTTTATTATTTAGTAACAAATGCTTCATAAAAAGGAACATACAAAGAAAGAACAGTGATGTACAATCAATTGCTGGGAAGCTTACACAGTAACGTCTAGCAATTCATTATTTTTGAGGAGCCAGCTCCAAGTTTTGTTCATTCTCGTTTGAGATTCCCATCCCCATGAGGTTTAAGCATTTCATAAAAGGATGTCTCTCAAGAATGGTAATGTGTCTGCCAGTTTTGGCATCCATCAAGCCTGTGCAATTACCTTGATGGTACACAACAGATGTGCAAATTAGCTGCTGCGCTCTGGCTTGCGAAGGATTTCCGTTGTGCCTTGTCTTTGCGCAACCTACTGCTGGTTTTAAACGCCGTGGGCTATCTGAGCCAAATAATCTTTTTGTCCTAATAATTTTGCAGAAGTAGAATTTTTCAGAAGTAGAAGAGGCACAGTGCCAATGATTGAGTACATATTTTTACCACCTACATATGAGCCTCTAATGAAGGGGGCTTTGGTGAAGCCTGACCCACAAAATGCTACACCCATTTTTCATGTTTGCCAAAGACACCGTTTGCATAAGCAACCGATCATGTGGGTGGTTTCTTCTAGTACAGCCGAGTGGACAAGAAATCCACAAAGCAAGCTGCGTGTGTGAGGTGTGCTTTGCACAGTTTGGGTTGTACTTAACCATGCCATTTGCAGCCCTTCATTTTCAGGGAGCTTGTGCTAGTTTGGTTAACATTAAAGGTGGTGTTGGTGGTGGTTGGTGGTGGAAACCACGTTGAAAAGAGAGACCCTGAAAGGCAGCCTATAGATGCAGAAGATAAGAATGTATGCACAAGTAGTTGATGGGGAACTCTGTGGCCCTCCAAATGTTGTTGGACTCAAACTCCCATCAGCCCCAACAAACATCACCATTAATCTAGGGGATGATGGGAGTTGAAGTCTAACAACATGAGGAAGGCCACCAGTTCCCTCTCCCTGGTGTGGAATCTATTATTTTCCCATCATTCTGAGCAAAAGAAAGAAAGAAATCTCTTTTAAAAGACATTCACCATTTCTTTCTCCCCTGTGATCTTCCTTCTTTTGCCTCAAGTATGTGGTACCTCAACTCTTCAATGCGAGCCCTTGCCTTGTCTCTCTCCACCCCTTCCTCTCCCTCTTCTCGTCACAGATATTTGGATGGACGGATTTTCATCGTTAATGTGCTCCCCCAAAGCCAGGCAGCAGTGGATGAGGTGGTGCTGGTTGGAGATGTTATTGATGAGATAAATGGATCTTCACTGAGGAACGCATGCAATGGACAGGTGTGAAAGGGAACGCTCTGATCTCGGGGGACTAAGGCTGCTGTGTTGCCTGAGATCCTGAGAAAGGAGCAGAAGAGATGGCTGTGTGGTGTTGCTATGGGAACTGTGCAGAGCTAAAGCTCTGGTGTTTGACCTGGAGATCATGGTGAAGAATTGAGGGTGTGGGAGGGATACAGAAAGACTGGGAAACAAAATGTCTTTCTCTTTCTTTCTTTCTAAAAAGTGTAGAGCTTTGCACTGCAGGAATGAATAGAATTATTATAATTACTTTAGAATTTCAGAAACTTAAATTGATACCAGTGGTTTGCTCGCTTTTAAAGTTTTCTTTTACAATGTTTATAGGTATGAGAAATGTGGGGATCAAGACAACTATTGGGGATGCATAGGAATCTGCTTAAAACCACGGCAAGCTAAAGACTCCTTGTCTACTGCAGTTAGTGGGGAAACCACAGCTTAATATTATAAACAAATTGCCCAGTCTTGCTTGAACCTCAGTATTCAGACAGTTGGGATAGAGCTAGTAATACAATTAATTAGGTTTTTTTAAAACAAAAACAAACAGACACACACCTAAATATTTCAGCATTTTTTTGGATCAAGAGAATTTTTTTACTGTGCTTCCTCTGAGTATAGCAAAGTTGAACAAATCAAGCTGTTTGCTTACATGTATTTCTGTCAGGACGGGGGGCTGGGGCAGAATATCTTATACTGGGAGTTTTGTTCATGCTTTCCATGCAAGTGTCAGATCTGGCTTGCCTGACAGATGGAAATTAATGACTGTGCAATCCCATACAGGTCTAGTCAGGCTGTGTGGATGCCATATATTTAAAGCACATTTGAAACACATTCCTTCCCTTAAAGAATTCTATTCACTGTGATGTACCACTCACAGAGTTACACTTTGCCAAGGCAATCTCTTCTAGTGACAAACTGCTTGTGTTGTCAGGAAGTTCTTTCTGGTACTTAGTGCCTGAATCCTTTTTTCTTGTAATTTGAAGGCACTGGTTTGAGCCTTTATAGATCACCAGAAAAGAACTTTGCTCCTTCATCTATGTGACGCTCCTCCAGATATTTCAAGGTGGCTGTCATACTGCCTCTGAATTGTGTTTTCCCCAGACTGAATGTACCAGTCCCTCTATTGGACCCGTTCCTCCTTATGGGAGAAAAATATGAAGATGTGCTCCTTTATGTACAGTGGTACCTTGGTCCTCAAACTTAACCCATTCCAGAAGTTCGTTCCAAAACCAAAGCATTCCAAAACCAAGGAGCACTTTCCCATAGAAAGTAAGGCAAAATGGATTAATCCGTTCCAGACTTTTAAAAACAACCTCTAAAACAGCAATTTCACATGAATTTTACTATCTAACAAGACCATTGATCCATAAAATGAAAGTGATAAACAATGTACTGCAGTCAATCAATCAATCAATCAATCAGTAGCTGAACTGGGTTCCGCACAGTCACCAAAAGACCCGCAAAAACAAAAACGCAGAATAAATAGCAAAAACAGACAGACCTCAGCATAACACTCAAAACGGAAGTGTGGCACTCAAATCGGAAGCGTAACACTCAAAATGGAGTATGTTCAGCTTCCGAAAAAGGTTCGCAACCCAAACACTTTGGGTTCCAAGTTGTCTGAGTACCAAGGCATTTGAGAACCAAGGTACCACTGTACTGTGGGAACAGCACAGAAAAAAGCTTGTAACCTCTGTAACTGGGATTAGTGCCAGGTGAGCAGTGCTAGAAATTCTTGCCCATGCTCTCAACCTTTCTGTTTCTCTTCAGGCTGGGACAGTGCTACAGAAGTACAAGGGCAAGCCTCTGAGCTTCCGCCTGATCCGCTGGAAGTGGCACGATGGAGGGATGTACAAGCCGCTTCTCCCCTACCTGAAAATCCTCCAGGAGAAAATCCCCAGCTTCCAGCTCCAGCATGAGCACACACACAAGGAAAAGAAAGAGGACCGGTGCTTGCAGGGGGGCAGGTAGGGGCTGCCAAGGGGAGCAGAGCAGCAGCAAAACGGTTGCAGGCTCCAGCTTTCGGCAATCGGTAACAATAAAGGTAGTCAGCATGGATTCATTCTGAATGCAGCCTGTAATTGAGGTGGGAACGTTGAGGTCCTTGGGCTGTTTTCCACCTGCCACACAGCTCTAGGCTGATCACCACGTGGTTCGTGAGAGAGACATAGAACAGTAGCAAAACAGTGTTATGTTTATGACCGGGGGTGCTTTTGAGCCACCTAGGGGCATGAAAGTAAAATCCCGCGCCAAACTGGGAGGAAGATTTGGAGGGTCCATATTACCAGTGCTATTTTTCTGGAAAAATAGGTGCCAGAACTCACCATGAACACCTCCCTTGTTCTCTTATAACGGTAAAGGCGCCCACCTGAGAGGTACCGGAACGGAGTTCCAGTGTGTTCGGGCTAAAAAAACCAACCCCTGCATATTACCAAAGAGAGACTAGCTCCCCACACCCTGTTGAATGAGGAGGACTGAAAGGGGAAGGCACATAAGATTTCAGTGAAAGTTTTTTTTTTTAGTTTTTTTTAAATTCAAAATTATAACAAGACATATTATCCAAAAACATATCATCCTTGTCCCCCCCCATTTTCCTCCCTCCCCCTCCCACACAAACCCCCCACCCCCACGACTTCCCTCAGTTCCAGTCTTTGGTTTCTCTAAGAATGCTGTTTTCTGCATGTTACAAAGTTGTATAGATCCTCAAACTATTTAGCTGATTATTATCAATAAAAAGTTTGTGAATGTTTATTCAAAACAGGATTTCAGTGGAAGTTGAGGTGAGGGGAGTGAGGTAAAGCAGTTTCTAAGGTCAAGCCAACTTAGGAATTCCACTTCAGTTGTTGTGCACATATTTAGAGCCTGTTCTTGTGGCACAGACCTCTTGCTCAGAGCCAGTAGTTATCGTGGCGAGCCAGCGGGGCCAACTAAGGCGTTACGTTTTACACTCTGGTATGGTTAAACAATATATATCTCAATTGTGACTAATGTGTTCATGTTTAAATGGGCACTTTTCTCATTATATACCCAGAAGAAGGAGATCCATTTTTGTGTGTGCAATCACCGCTTGATTATTGTGGAGAAAAGCAGCCACATAAGCGTGCACACGTCAGTCACAATTGTTGCACACCATGTACATTTTGTTCTGGTATCGGCCTGTTTCGCTTGAACTGCCATCCCCTCCCCCTGATCTAAAGGAATGAGCTACTTATAGACACCGTGGACTAATTATTTTGGCCATTTTCTCCTCAGGCTGCTGTACAACCTGCGGTACTTAGGCCACGTCAATGTAGGAAAGGTGAGACTGGGTCTTGGACAGAGAAGGGAGGATTGTTTAGCTTTCCTTGTTGTTGGTTTATGTCTTTTATTTTTGTTACACCTTTCCGATTCTTATTTTCAGTATGGAAGCAAAGAGGTGTTAGACCAAGGCATACCTATGGTTTTAGAGAAACGTTTGCCACGACAGGTACGTTTCCTGCTTTAACAGTCCAAAATGTGGAGACATTTCCCCCAAATGTGGAGACATTTCCCCCAAATGTGGAGACATTTCCCCCAAATGTGGAGACTGGCACACGAGTAGGGCTTACAGTTGTTAGATGCATTCTTGTATATTTCTGCCTTTGCATACGTCTGGTTTTTCTCTCAATTTTTGTTTGTTTTTTAATTTTAAGCAGACTGGAGTTTGACCGCAATAACTCTTTGCTCATTCTTTCTTTGTGAGGAATTGCTAAATCAGATTATAGGTTATGAGGGCAAAATTATTGATAGGTGGGAGAGTCAAACCTTCCTTTTTTTTATTCATTCTTCCTCTATCTTTCCTCAAGTAAGCCCAAGGCAGTGTACAATGTTCTGTTCTCTTCTCCTCCCGCCAAACTTTATCTTCTCAATAACCCTTTGTGATACGTTAGACTAATAGATGGTGTCTGGCCCAAATTCACCCACTGAAGTTCGTTACTGAGGTGGGATTTGAACTTGGATCTCTCTAGCCCTAGTCCAGCAAACTAACCAAATTTTAACCAGGTCTCTCAAAGGAAAGGATGTTTTTGCCTAGCAACCAAAAGCCCTCCAATTTGGGATGTACGCAAAAAAATTTGAGCTTCTCCAGTCAAGAACACAAGATGAGAGACAGGCCCAACTTTTGTACTCCTATAGCCTGTGAGGAAAAAATAAAGAATCTACTTGGAACTGAAGGAGTATTTCTTTTCTTCCTCCTTTGATCAAATGCCTTGCGACAACTAAGCAGTAGTCATCGTTGTGGAAGGGAAAGAAACAAAATAGCAGCAAGCAGATAATTGCTTTTGACAAGTACCATTCACAAAAAACTTGGTGAATCTGAGAAGCTATTAAATAGTGAAACTTTTGACAATTCTGGTAGATCTTTTGGAGAAAGAATACTCTAAATATATACCCCCTTCTACAAGTCTAGGAATTACAATTTCATATGAAAGCTGCCATTATCTTATGAGATATGCTTGATGAAAACAAACTATGATCCCTGTCTTACTGTTCGGCATCTGAACCCAGAGGTCATGATTTGTTTCCATCAAACATTCCACAAACCTTGACCTGTTGCCAGAGTTTGGCCTGGGCTTACAGATTGTGGTTTGTTGGAGCGAAACAAACTACAAACAGTGGTTCAGGAGGAGCAAGGCTGGTTCAGGGAATGCAAGAGTGAGGAGGAGCGGAGCAACCTAGCTTGGCACATTCACCACAAACAATTCATTATGGTTTTCCCCCCAACTTGCTGCCCTGCAGACTACACATCAGCCCCTGCCTGCACCAGCTAATTTACTACAAGGCTTTACTTCTTTGGGCATTCAGTTCTGCATGTTAACAGTTTCCGTAATGCCTTCTGCGCTCGGTTGCACATTTCTTTAGAAATAGCTCTGAGAACCCTCCCTTAAATCATGTGCGTGAGGAAAGAGAGTTGACTATCTCAGATTTTAAAAATTCCTGAGGTACCTTTGTGCGATATGTAAATTCTTTAAATTCTTGGGCGGGGGGAGTTAATGCACCCCACCACCAAAATGTGTCTAATGTGTGCCCTCTTCCTCTACCCTACCACCAGACCTAGTCCTGGTCTTGATGAGTATAGAACTGGTGTCCCAGATTGGATATGAGACCTGAGTGAACTTTTCTTAACCAGTCACTTAATTGCAGCAGCCAGAAGTCGCCACTTCAAACAACACTGCAGCAAGTCACTAAACGTATATAAACTGATTATATTCCAGCCAGGAAGCTAGCATACAAAATCGACAGAGAGACTCAAGTGGTGGCCGTATCTCTAGTTGCAGACCTTTATAAGTCTACCAACAGGTCAGGTTTTGGAGAGAAAGCACACATTCCTCAACATACTTTACAGCCTGGCTCCTTAAAACAACCTCCTCCTTTTTTCCTGTCAGGTTGGCATGCAATTTGTGAGGAGAGAGAGACCTGAGTTCTAATGCACTACCTGCTAAAGAGATCCTTCCCCCCCCCCTTTCTACCATTCTTTTTTTAGAAGAATGGTATAGAGCTTCTTATGTTTCTCCTACTCTCCTAAGACCATTGCATTTTTGCCTGTACAGTGGTACCTCAGGTTAAGTACTTAATTCGTTAGGGAGGTCCGTTCTTAACCTGAAACTGTTCTTAACCTGAAGCACCACTTTAGCTAATGGGGCCTCCTGCTGCTGTCGCGCTGCCAGAGCATGATTTCTGTTCTCATCCTGAAGCAAAGTTCTTAACCCAAGGTAATATTTCTGGGTTAGCGGAGTCTGTAACCTGAAGTGTATGTAACCCGAGGTACCACTGTATGCTTTTTCACCTTGATTGTATTTCAGTGACAGAGCACAGTGCTTTATATTGGGGTGCTATAGAAATGCAGGCAAATAAAAATTCAAGGTTATAGTCCATTAAACACACACAGGATAGATTTCTTTCTCTCCTGCATATGTGGGAAGATGAAGCTGTCAAAAAAGAAAAGAGAGGGAGGGGCTTAATCAGACAATCACCCCAGCTTACAGTTACTCTTAAAACTGCTTAAAGCTGATGTTTGCAATTTACTACTTGTGCACGAGTCCTTGCCATTTAAATATGGACATAAAGGTTTGAAGTTGTGTCACCATCTTAGTGAAAATATACAGGGCTGCAGCCTCTTCTCTCTGTACAATTTGGTTCTACGCTCATCCAGTCTGTCTGCCTGGCCAACAACAACTCACCTACTGTGGGTTTCTGAGACTGAGCTTTTCGAAAAACGCCTGATCCCACCAGCAAACAAGTAATGGAGGTGGTTTGAAACGACCACAACACTGAGACCTTATTACAAGCCACTGCAGCAATGCAAGAGCAGCTGCTACTCAAGAGGAATTCAATGCTGCGCTCTTCCAATTGTTCCATCGGTGTTTCAGCTTGCCCTATGGAACCACATCCCATGGGGAGAGAAGAGGGGGGAAGGCCCCATTGTTAGTGGGACTTATGCTAGCACACTAACTTAGCTGAATCCGGCCCGTTGTACCTGCAAGATGCCACCACCATCGGATGCGCCATCGCACCATCCCAGGAAACGCTTACAAAACATGAATGGACCAAAGGGAGATTAATCAGCTGCATGGCCCTTTTCTTCTACCAGCTCAGAATGTCCAAGCGTTTTCCTCTTAAAGATGAGGTGGAAACGCAGCTTTGTAAATAAATAAGGCCATTTGTTCTGCTCACCCTTTCACCCTATTGCCAGAATGAGCTGGCATAGCATGCGACTTGTGTTTCCCCAGTGCTGGAGAAAGTCAATTGCTGTTCCAGTGAAGGCACTCAAGGCCGCTACTGGTTTGTTTTCTGGGTAGCTCATATGTAGCAACCTACTCACATGTGCATCTTTATTCAACCCAGGTGAGTGCTTCAAAACAGGAACATAATTTAAAGCAGTGGGTTTAAATTATTCTTTCCTCCAATAAGCTCAAGGCTTGTGTACACTGTTCTGCTTTCTCCCCTACCCCCAAACTTTATCCTCACAATAACCCTGTGGGTGTAGGTGAGACTGAGCTTAAATTACTCTTTTTTGAATACTGTACATTAATACATCAAACGTATAGATTGGTAGAACTATTTTGTGGGTTTTTAAAAAAAATCCATATACAGCTACTGAAGTCAATGCTATAAACTACAATAGGGCAAATCTGAGAGCGTCAATTTACACCAACTATTTTTGGCTGACGTACATCAAAATGTTTACATTGGCAATTTTGTGAAAATTATGCAGTCTGTTAAGTGATCAGTTTGAGGCTATCACTGTGGTTATTTCTACCCCAAATCACTCCAAAGTTGAAGGAAGCAAAAATGAGGAAAAGACTTGAAATCGCAGCAAAATGCTCAAGCCTTATCTGTTAATCTTCTGAGGCAGGCGTTTTGACAGTTAACAGTGCATTTTACTTACCCATTATTGTTTCGAACATTTTGAATATATTTTCACAGGAGGTTTTATTTGATGTCAAAGAAACAGAAGTCGTTGTTCAAGAGAAAGCTGCTTCAAAGGTTAGAGTACTTTTCTTTACTGTTGGCGCTTGTCCTGACTATATTTAAATATTTTATAAAATGTCAAAATTATTCATAGAATGCAAGCCACTGAATTTAGCTGCTTTCTGTTGGTAGAACTTGCCTGTAATGTGTGTGATTTACTGGAAGATAGGTTGCACGTAGAGGAGCTATTTGTTTAAATCTACAACAAAATCTCTTATTTGATTGTGTGGATCATGGTCCATGCACACACATTTAGAAAACAAAGAGCATAAAATTGTAAATAATCATTTCTAGGCCACTGCCTTATCAGATCACTCAATGTTGTTGCCAGGTTCTGTTTCGTTACTCTTATACAGACATTTCCTGTGTGGGACGGCGTCTGGACAGCAACAATCTCTTCGCCTTCTGCAGTGTGTGAGTTAAAAATAACAACCACCCACATACCTAGAGATACACTACACCAGGATTCTATTATCCCTGGCTGCGTAATTGCATGTGGCAGCAATGCATTTAGAGCAGGCTGAAGTTTGAGTTGTCCTTTTCAAAGTTCAGTTTTCCCTGCCAACAATTCTGCTGAAATCCCTTACTATACACTCTGAGCCTATGTAAATCATGCTTTTGAGCACATACGCTATTGTATGTCTACCTCTCATTTTGATAAAATCATCCATCCAATTTGGAATACCCCAAGGCCCCTTGGGTTGTCTGGGGGGAAATTCACCCTGGCCTAGTTTAGCCATCACTGGCCTTTCAGCTGGTGCGTTGAGACCTGCTACCCAGTCAGTACCTAATCTTAGGCGCGTCCCAACAGTAGTACTACAAATATGCCCCCCCATGCATTGTTTGGGGTAAAGGTTTGTGCCATCTCTGAAAAGGTTGAAGTATATATAGAGCATTGATCTTCCACTGGTAGATCAGGCTTTGCTTATGCATCAATGTATTAACATAATTTTGATGCTTTTGTAAAACTGAAGAAAACACCAGATTTGCTACTGGAACCTGACCTCAGGTGCATCACAACAGCAGCACTTTCACAATGAATTATGCCCCCAAGTTTGGATGAAGAGCTAGGCCCCAGGTCCTGTAAAGGTCAGAAGCGATGTGTTAGCAGTACCTCAGCTTGCCAGTGTGCTTAAAGGATTAGTGTTAAATTTAAGATGGGGCAGAATGAACAAAGATTCATTCTGCCACATGCATATCAAATTTATTGCCCATAGTGTTGTCATCAGTACCACATTATGGGATTCCCTCCCTTTGCCAATCTGATTAGCCCAGATTCTTACATGCTTTCGGAGTCAGCTGCATTTCTTTGCCCAACCTTTTGTGTGTTCTGTCACTTTGTTATTTTACCCTGACTGCTGTGTTTTAAGGGTCTTCCAGATGTTCTTTTATTGTGCATTCATTTGTACTGATGTTGGGTATCAAGCTGGCTATATATGATCCTGTCTTCAATGCTGTGCACAGGCCACAGCTTCCTTCTGAAATCCTGTGGCTTCACCTCACAAATATTTCAGGGCTTTTAAAGTTTGTTGCACAATAATGTAACATCCAGGAAGCATCACTAATGAAGTGGAATTAATCCACTGTTGTGTCAATCTCTTGTTTAATAATACATCTGCAAAATCCGCGTAAGCCCTGAATGTGTATTTTAGTGTAACCTGTTCTGATTGATTTGGCAATGCAGGGAAGAATAATTTTAAATACATTATACTGTATAGGGTTTCACCTGAGTCTTCGGAACAAAGCACCTTCGACTGTCTTGTATTTGAATCAAACACTGAAGATGAAAGTGAGGAAATAATAAGAAGAATTGGTAAGGATATTTGTTCTTTGGTGTACAACTAAAAAGTAGCAAGGCCTCTATAGGCCGTTAATGAAGCATACTTAGTGTACTTGCAAGCTAGTAATTCCAAGACTTAGAAAGCTAATAAGATTAGGCTTCGCAGTAATTGTATATCTGCATTTCTAATTATGTTCAAGGACTTGGGCCTAGTATGAAATAAAGTAGGAAGTCTTCTGTTTGATCTATGAGGATTTCCAGGCCAGTATCCCAATCACCTAATATCTAGCATGCTAGTGGTCAGGAGACAAATTCTGTTCTTTCGAAACCATGGCTAGAGCAGAAAGTACTGCCAACTTCAGGAATATTATTTTAAGATTAATGACCATTTGTTTCTTTAGCTGCTGGATTTAAACACACAGAATGGTTTGTCTGATTGAGATGCATGATGCTCTGCTTCTGGGTTTCTGCCAATGACCTACTTTTGGAGCTGAACTGGCATGCAAAAGGGCCTAGTTTCAGTCAGTGATACGCTGCCAGGCTTGCGCTTGGATTAAGGCGGCACTATGAAAGGATTAAAACTCTACACTGGAAATAGTATTTTGGCTACCTCCTACAACAGAAGACTGAGTTTTTACAAGTGTTTTCTTTTCATGTTTATACGGACATCTGCAGAATTTGGAATAAAATCAAGCTGAAGCCATGGATTTGCATACTATTTGTATTAACCAAAGTTTCTACATTTAAAAATGAGACAGATTCAATGTAATGAGTCAAGCATAACTTACTATGACAGTTCAGTTTTTCAGTGTGTAGCTTTACTAGTTTTGTGCTTACATTGTTTAAAGAAATCAGAAATAAGAATCTGAAGAACACTGTATATACACTTTTCGGTACACCCCCTTTACTCCTTTAATTTTTGTTATTTGCTGCCAGGGGCTGTCGACTAGCAGCCTAGGTGAAGAATTAACTCCACTCCCAAAAAAATAACAGCCTGATTGTCTGCTTTGGTTATAGAAATGGAAGCTGCATTTCAATATATAAATGGCGAGATCACTCAAACTGGTTCAAAACAAACCCAAAAGTGTAAGAGAAAAAGGGTACATGAAGAAACCAACCAAGGCAGCAAGGATAGGGTATTAACACTCAAGACCAAATTTATACCACTTGACTACTTTGATCACTAAAAGTAGGCCTAAAAACACCAAGTCTGACAGTGTTCTGTTTATTTAATAAGTTAGAAGTGGGGGAAACTATTTTCCAAATTAGCAAGCGTTTAATCACTCTAGGTTACATAAGTACAGCAAGCTTCTGCTGTAATTGGAGTTGCATACCAAGCAAGGAACAGGCTTAACTTGATTTGAGCAGGGATAGTATAAGACAAAATTGTAATACTACTTTCCCCACAACAATGACAAGACTCCTTGGGTGAATGTAAAACATTTAATTTAAAAATGTTGACACTACAATATATAAAATAGCTATTATAAATGCACATAGTGTATTCTATAGCTGCCAGGTTTACGTTTTTAGGAAACTGTAAGTTACACTGTGGTTAAGACTTGTAGTTTTACCCTTCTGAAAGTCCACATTCTATCACAGTGATGTATGGTCAGACTTAACAGCCCCAATTGTTAAACACTTGGATCAAGTTATAACCAGTTTTATTGCAAAAAGACCCTGTACACATTTATATCAATTCTAGTACCTTACAATTTTAGCTACCCAACAAGTCATTAACATACAGAAACATGCATGAAAAGCAAGAAAGATCACCCATCCCTTCTGCATATTAGCAACTTGTCACTGTTGAGCAACAAAGCTCACATCACTGAGTTTTTATGTGAACAGTCACTTTTAGCATTCATCCTGAGTGAAAGATGGAATGACTTAAGTACAAATGTAACATATTATAAACAATTTCATACAAAAAAAGTCACAAATTGAAACCAAAGTATTTTACAGAATTTACTACAAAACACCATAAAAACTGCCTCCTCTTAAGCCCTCTCCCCCCGTATCCTACGAGCCAACTGGATGTCTTTGGGCATGATGGTGACTCTCTTGGCATGGATGGCACACAGGTTCGTGTCTTCAAAGAGACCCACCAGATATGCTTCACTAGCCTCCTGTTTTGAAACAAGACAGACAGTGTTAGAAACCATGAACTGGTACATGTAATTAGCCCTTTTCCCCACTCCCCCACAGCATACCTGGTTAAAAGTAACTATTAACACACTCATACCTGCAGAGCACCAATGGCTGCACTCTGGAACCTCAAGTCTGTCTTGAAGTCTTGAGCAATCTCCCTTACCAGCCTCTGGAACGGAAGCTTGCGAATCAAAAGTTCCGTGGACTTTTGGTAACGACGAATCTCTCGCAGCGCCACAGTACCAGGCCTACAAAATTGGTAGAATAGTGTGAACAAGGCCCCAAGCTGCAATATGTAAATTCAGATCTTGCCAGCAGAGAAGCATTCCTGAAAACGGCAAAAAGTGTGCTGCGGAGTGGGCAACCACTTCCCTAAACCAGACTCTAAGGTACTGTCAATACAGCCCTTATCATCTCTTAAGTGTGTAGATATGAACCCCGGCCTGCTTTCCGGAATTCACTGCTATTTTTTTAAAAAAGGCAGTTGTTCTTATTCCCTCCCCCCTTTAATTACCTGTAGCGATGAGGTTTCTTGACTCCACCAGTAGAGGGAGCGCTTTTCCGAGCAGCTTTGGTAGCCAGCTGTTTACGTGGAGCTTTGCCACCGGTGGACTTACGGGCAGTCTGCTTGGTACGGGCCATTTCCCTTTACTTTTTTTGTTACTAGGAGGAAAAAGCAAACGAGAGGTTAGCAACGGAAGCGCTAGCCCTAACACCCTCCCGTCTGACTCTTTAGTGTTTTCCCTACCACTTCGTGCCAGTATCCACTAACCTCCTCCCTCCCTGCCACTCTTCGGAGGAACCGCAGCGCAAGACTAGTAGCAGATGTCTGGGCGCTGCTCCCTCCGCGGCGGCCAACGGAGGACATTCCCCGGGGAATAGGAACGAGGAGTCACGCTGCCTCCCGCCCACGCGCGGTAGTAGTAGAACCGAAGCCACGATTCCGCTCCATTCCACCCCCGCCGGTAGTTACGTTGCCATGACTACGACTATCGGACTATCTCATCCCTCCCCCCAACACATACACACCGCGGGCGAAGCGAAACAAAGCGGCCTTCACCACCCCTCCCCCACCACTCCCGAAACACGGCCCAAAATACGAGAAATACACGTCCACCTTCCCCGCCCCCCCCACTCCTCCGCCCTAAGCCGAAACTCACCACTTTCAGGAACGGAGCCTTTAAAAACACTTCCGCTCCTACCAGCCACAAGGTACACGTCCTACTCCTTCCCCAACGAGCCCGCAACTGTCCCCTCCCCGGCGCGGGGACACTGTATTTATAGAGGGAGGGGGCCGAGAACGTCATGACCTCACAATACAGACACGCAGCGCACGGAGCCATTGGCGTCTACCTCCGTTGGCGCCGTGACGTTAACTGACACAAAGGCCGTTTCCCCGAATCTCGGCCGTGATTGGATGAAACCTCGACAGCCGATTGGTTGCTAAAGCTGCACTCCGATTGGACATCGTGAGCTGAAGCAGACCAATCGGAATTGGAGCCCAGGAGAAGGTTGTGATTGGCCGGCAGAAAACATAGTTTGGATCCTACTTTTTGTTGCAAAGCTCCACAATGGAAAGTCAATGGGAAAGAAAAGCCGTCCGTTTGGAGTGTCCCAGACTGAATGAGGCGGGTAAACAGGAGGAAATACTGCCACATAAATTATCGTAGGAGGGAAAATGGTAAAGCCAGGTAGGAAGGTTGCAGTCGTATTTGAATATATCTGACTGTTTAGCGTCAGACCAAGTGGTACGAATAAAGGAAACTTCAAACATAAGTCAATAATTATTTTCTAAACAATATTGCACTGAACACGGATTATTTATTAAACAGTATTGCACAGAACACAAACACAGATTAAAACGCCCCTTTAAAATACCCGTCACATAATCATAACTCAAATATACTAAGGTTAGAAATTTTATATTTTTTTTCAATTTAACAGTGTATAGAAGACAAATATTTCTTAATCAAATCTAGTGGGTAAAATACAAATACTTTGGTAGGAAAACTATTACTCTATTTGGTACTCTAGCTGGCTTGCATGATCAAATAAATACCTGCAATAAGTAACATATACATATTTACAAAACAAAACATTTAAAACACGAAAAGTTCCTAGTTAGCAAATACACATTATGTTAAGTGATTTTAGCTTCTTTATAGAAACTCCCTGCAGCTTCTAGGATGAGGGCCTAATACTGCAGTCTGGTGTGAAATGCAATGAGAAGTATAGACTACTGATATGTACAAAACTATTGACATATTTTCTTATACATCTTATATATGAAGTGCATCCTAAGTAAAAGCAATATACCTGATTCTGTTAAAGCACAGGTATTGCATTCTCTAAATTCATGTATTACTGATCACACAATAGCTAATGATTACATTAATTAACCCTACAGTTCTAGTATTTAACAGGATGCAAATTTGACAAGTCTATTATTCTTTCTAATCATAGTGTTCTATAAGGTAATAGTACCGAAAAAGACAGACTCTGTTGGTAAGGTTTGAAAACGCCTTCAGATCCAGCAAAACCAATTACCGTACATAATCTTTACTAGCTTGGGCATTTCTGTTGAAAGGAAGACACATCTCAAAACTGTTTCACACTCAGTGCTGAAATTACATTATATGTGTAATCAAGATGAAATTGAAGATATAAACAATGGGACATATACTGCACACCTTATGAAATCCTGCTCCTCCACTGGCTCACAGAAATTTTATTACAGTGATAAAGATTACTAATACGTGTGGCATGAAGATGCACAACATTTGCATTTCCAAACAGGTGTGACCAAATGCTGTTCATTTTAAGCACTATATTTTGTTACTGAACATCAAACATAGAAAATAGTTGTACTTTTGTGTACTTATTTTTATTTAGTTGCAGTGTATGTACTATACTGTAATCACTTTCCTGGGAGTAAACACTATTGAACTTTGTGGGACTTCCCAGTAAACATATATAGTAAAGGTAAAGGTACCCCTGCCCGTACGGGCCAGTCTTGCCAGACTCTAGGGTTGTGCGCCCATCTCACTCAAGAGGCCGGGGGCCAGCGCTGTCCGGAGACACTTCCAGGTCACGTGGCCAGCGTGACATCGCTGCTCTGGCGAGCCAGAGCCGCACACGGAAACGCCGTTTACCTTCCCGCTTGTAAGCGGTTCCTATTTATCTACTTGCACCCGGGGGTGCTTTCGAACTGCTAGGTTGGCAGGCGCTGGGACCGAGCAACGGGAGCGCACCCCGCCGCGGGGATTCGAACCGCCGACCTTTCGATCGGCAAGCCCTAGGCGCTGAGGCTTTTACCCACAGCGCCACCCGTGTCCCTAAACATATATATTACTGTGGTGTTAGAACACCCAAGTTTCACAGAACAGACACCACGGCACTGCCACACCCCTTCCCATTAGAAAATGAGACAAACTGGACACATAGGTATGTCCCCCTTAATGATAATAACAATGCAATAAATGATTTATTGGGTTCCTCATAGCATCTGTGTATTAGATCAAATGAACTAAATTGAAGTCTGCAGGAGTAGGACTAATGACTAGAGATTTGTGATATTTATTTATTTAACAAAACCACTTGGTTGTTATAAAACCTATACACATAAAGAGTGAGACATACAAATAAGTTAACTAGCGGAGGTGGGAGACTTTCGACATACTGTATAAGTTTAGTAAGTCCGTCTTTCACACCTATCAGTAAGAATATGTCTAAGAAAACTATTCTACCAACACCCAGCCATAATCTTATGATTTGCTGCTGATAGCACAAGACTTGGTTTAGAGATCCCAGCATCACACAAGGGCAATCTTTCACTCAAATAGCACTATCATTCATCAATGCTGCTTACGTTCAAAGAAGCATAGGCCTTACCAATAACAGAAGCATTATAACATGGGGGAGAGAGGCAATCAATTCCTTGTATCCCACCAGTCCAGGATATCTTTGGCTTCTAACTCCAGTATAGCTTTGCCCTGTTTAAGAACTGAATCAAAGCAATTTCCCATTTGCTTTGAAGGGCAAGCACCTTTCTGTCCTAGTTGATTTCCACACTAGCATAGTTTGCATGGCTTTGTGTAAATGTGTAAGTTCCTGGAGGGGATTGGGGCTGCTGTGCTGCTTTCCTGGTTGTCCTCCTGCCATACTACCATCAGCTAAGCCATGGTTTGGCTTACTATGTCTGAACCTGGGCTCATGGTTTGTCTTGCTCTAGACAAACCGTGGTTCAGGCTTTGGAGGACACTGCTAGGCTAGGTCTAGCCATGACTTAGCCCGGAGCAATAGGAGGACCAGGGAAGAATGTAGCACCTGTGATCTCTCTGGGAACTCACATGTTGTGGTGTCAGCCTGTGCTTGCATCACAAATACAATAGGAGATAGGATTAAGCTGTGTCTTTGGCCATAACCAGTTTCAAACTGGGCAATAACTGAGTATTCCAGTCCTCATGTTCACTCCTTGACTCCAGATGTTAAAGGATAAGCAAGAGGAAAGCCTACTCTCACCGCCATATGTAACACTAACAGGATGCAACATTGTACCTGAAATATTGCCATAAAGAGCCTAAAAGTGTGTGTGTGTGGGGGGGGAACTCCAACCCTTCTAAAGAAAGTTTAAAAGGCATGTTCAGCCCAAAAGTTTACTTGGAAATTAGTCCAAATGGCTTCATTTCTGAATAAATATTGTAAAAGTCTGGGAGCATAAGACTTCAGTCCTATGCAAACTTTAAGCCGTACTAAACAGTGTATGGATCACTTTCAAGCCAACATACAAAGCAGTGTGCTGCATAGAAACCAGCATAATATACTGAAGAAGGGAGATACAGTGGTACCTCGGGTTACATACGCTTCAGGTTACATACGCTTCAGGTTACAGACTCCGCTAACCCAGAAATATTACCTCGGGTTAAGAACTTTGCTTCAGGATGAGAACAGAAATCGTGTAGTGGCAGCGTAGTGGCAGCAGGAGGCCCCATTAGCTAAAGTTGTGCTTCAGGTTAAGAACAGTTTCAGGTTAAGAACAGACCTCCAGAATGAATTAAGTTCTTAACCCGAGGTACCACTGTACTCAGTACTGCATATTATTTGACCCATGCCAACTACACAACTGAAAGAGGAATTGTTAAGCACCTTGTCTTCTGAAATGTTCTATGTAAATAAATTTATGTGCAATAAAGTCATTGCATTAACAATGGCTATACATATCTAGTTATTACTGTAAACGTTTAACCATTTTATAGATAAGTGGCATAGTTTATGACAAACTATTATATTTACTCAGACACCTCACAACAGCAGACAATAGCTCATCCTGTTCTAATGATAGCAAAACATTCTATGAGAAGGATTTCGTCTAATCAACTGTTTTAAAGCCCCGATTTTCTTTCACTATAGAAGCTGTCGTTGTCAACCAGAATTGCATACAGTACTGATTTGCCATCTTAAAACTATATAAACATCCTACAGTTCTTTACCAGAAGAACTAGTGCGCAAACTCCTACATCTGCGCTTGCTGACATTTGCTTCCAAGTGAACATCGTTTGGATCGGGCTGTATCAGTTTTACGTGCGGCTAAATTGTTCATAACGCTTCGAGGCTTGCATAGCGCTGCTTCTGCTTAGATCCGCTTGATGGCAATCCATGGAGGAACTCATCCGAACTACAACTCCTATGAAACCCCGCGCTGTTGCACAATCCGGGGCAGCGAGCGCAGGGCACCCCTGGAAGTTGTAGTTTCATTGGCCGGAAGCCCAGTAGAAGAAAAGGGGGACTTTCCGCCATCACCGGGACTACAAGCCCCAGCATGCTTTGGGTAACCCGGGGCGGTAATGGCGGCGGCAGCGCCTGCGCATTGCGGTCTCCGTGCGGACCGCGCAGAGTGAATAATAAAGCTCTCCTCCTCGGTGGTAGCGGGCGGCGGCGGAGGGAGTGGAAGGCAGGAGCATGTCGAAGGGCCCGGTAGCGACCGGGCCTCCCGCGACCGGGCCGGTGGCGCCCGCCAGCGCGCTCCAGGCGCAGCCCGAGAAGCCGCAGCACTACACGTACGTAGCGAGAACACCCGCAGCCGCCACTTACTGCTGCTGCGACCGCCGCCGCCGCACCCCTCCGCCCGGCACCCGCCCGCGCGCCACACACGCCTGACGTCAGCGGGCAGCGTGCGGCTCGCGCGCACGGAAGCCAACCGCCCGCCCGGAACCGGCTGGAACCGGTCGTGGCCGGCCTGGGCCGGTGGAATTTCGCCTGAGTGGGAGGGGGCGGGGCGGGAGCTGACACCCCCCCGCCGCCGCGCGCTTTTCCGTTCCCGCGCGCGAGTGCGCGCGCAAGAACAACCCCACATACATAATACACACACCCCACAAGCTGAGGCGCGCGATACCCATGATGCGTTGCGGCTCGCGCACCCCATGGCTCCCTTTACGTTGACTTGAGGGGGGTAGTGGGTACCTCTTTTAATCTTCCTCGCCCCCCTTTCCCCAAATCATCTGTTTTGTACTTGGTAGTGCCTCTCTCTCTCGGCTCTGCCTTCTTCCGCTTAGTAAAACGGTAATGCGTCTTTCCATGCCGCCAAGTAGGACGGTTGTGAACTCAAATGTTGGAAAAACAAGTGGTTTAGTTTACTATGTTTAGATATAATCTTCGCTTTCTTTCTTTCTCAAGTACTAACCTCGTGTTAATGGCCTTGGGCTTGTGGTCAACACAAATAAGGGCATCCTTTATCTTATTTCGAACTGTCTTTTCTAGAGTAAAGGGACCATCCCATAAAATCTAAGCTGCTCTTTGCCAGAGCTTTGACTTTCTTTGCTGTTCTTCCTTGGCACTGGGTTAGTTCGTCTTTCTCTCAGGAGATGCCCCGTTAAAATTTCAAGAATAAGGGAAGCTGTGGTGTGTGTTCTGTGAAGTAAAGGATGCCAAGCCCAGGAGAAACGTTATGTAGAGTAAATTGCTATAATTCTAGGGGGGAAATGGTAACAAAAGAGAGAGCAGAAAATAGTGTTTTTTCTCAGTCGCTGTAGTACAAAATGCTTTGGTAGAAAAATGTCAAAGGGATACTGAGTTCTGAAATAAATGGCCTGTTAGTGTTCTGTGGCAATTGTGTGAGGAAAGTATTGTTTTCACTCCATTCAGAAATCCTGGTAAATTCTCTTGTGACCTAATTCTGTGAATAACTGGCTAAGCAAATGCAGGTATTTTGGACCAGACAGTGAATTATGTGCCACTGGTGACATCACCAACCTCTGTAACATTGCACTGCAGGTGCAAATCCACTAAGGATGCTAGTACCTTGGCATAGTGTTGTGGGACAGTGGTACTACGCTAGAAACAGCCTTCATTTCTGTATGTGTCTTGTGGTATAATGCAAAGCTAATATATGGCATGGAATTGGCCAGAAATGAAGTACAGTCAGGTTAGAACTAAGAAAGTGCAACCCTTCATGTATCTTAGGCTGCAATCCTATACAGTGGTACCTCGGTTTAAGAACAGTCCTGTTTAAGAACGATTCGGTTTACAAACTGCAAAACCGGAAGTAGTGTCCCGGTTTGCGAACTTTACCTTGGTCTAAGAACAGAATCCAAATGGTGGAAGGGCACCAGTGGCGGGAGGCCTCATTAGGTAAAGCGTGCCTCGGTTTAAGAACGGTTTCGGTTTAAGAACGGAATTCCGGAACGGATTAAGTTCGTAAACTGAGGTACCACTGTACCTACATTCCTTGGACTAAACCCATTGAACTCAATAGGGCATACTTCTGATTGGACATGTGAATTGTCTCAAGGATATGGAGAAGTGGAATAAAAATGTTGTAAATCAATAAAATGCTTCAGAGCTAGTAATACCGCTACAAGCGGTCACTGTGTTTTAACTGATAACAAATGTTAGTGCAGAGTTCTCTTACTTGTGACACAGAAGATCCTGCTGCTGTAGCTTGCTCCAGTATACCTCCTCCATGCAAATGCTCATTTATTTAATAAGTTTTGAAATTAATGGCTTCCCAGCCAGAATGTGGTACACTGCTTCAGGAGGCAAAGTTGAACAATAAAATAAATTGGATACATAACTGTTGTGCAAAATTGCTTGGGTATTTGTTCTGCTGCTCAATTGGGACTCAACCAATTTTAATATCAGGCCTAGTTTACAAGTATGACTGTAACACACACACACACACACACACACACACACACAATCAAATGGTGAAAGAAATGATACCAGGAATACAGTTCATAGGTGTGTTTTTTCATTTTTGCCTTGTGGGTGCATTTTGATTATTTTAAAGTTTACTGAACTCATCTGTGAGGTTTAAAATTCAGTTTTCTTGTAAAAATTTGCTCAGACAAGACTTGCTGGTAGACTTTGCAAATTGATGTTTCAAATGCAGTCTATTCTTTGCAAGATCACACGTATTTTACTATAGTAATCAGAGCTTATGCTGAAGTAAGTGCGAGCTTACTTAGTAGTAAGTGGGGTTAAGATTGCAGCCTTAGTGCAGCAAACGCATTTGTGTTCACAGAATGTAATGCTTGGCATTCATTTGCATTCATTTGCTTATATTTTTGGCATTTTTTTGTTTTGTTTTGTTTTGCAATGAGAGAACCATGTGTCTTCTGGTTCTGCTGACTGTAATCTGTCCTTGATCCCTTCTCTCAAAAAGTTACTAAAGTGTGCTGAATGTACTGAAGTTATTAATAAGTTAACGTCTGCTTATAAGTGTAAGGAATTTCTTGCTGGACTGTTTCTTACATGCATATTTATGAAGTAATTAGTAATATATGTATTTAATAGTGTGTTATGACTTCATCTACTGTGAGGAATTAAACAGTTGCCTTTTCAAAGTGAAAACTTTGAGAACAGAGATAATTGTTGCTATACAAGTTGCTGATGACTGTAGATATCTCCCTGAAGAAACATTATTGTTGCTTGAATCTGCCTTCCCCAGGAAAAAAACTGACAGCCACTTTTCACCAGCGTTAGAAACAGAGATATGAAAGCTAGGAGCTAAATGGCACCTTAAACCTAGGTTATGGGTGCAACAATGGAATAGCTAGGCACACTTTTTAATAACAAGAATTGTTGTTGTTTAGTTGTTTAGTCCGTGTCCAACTCTTCGTGACCCCATGGACCAGAGCATGCCAGGCGCTCCTGTCTTCCACTGCCTTCCGTAGTTTGGTCAAACTCATGCTGGCAGCTATCTCATCCTCTGTCGTCCCCTTCTCCTTGTGCCCTCAATCTTTCCCAACATCAGGGTCTTATAACAAGAATACAAAGCTGAAAATTAATGAACTGCAGTTAAAATATTATGTTCATTTTTCATATGATCTAGTCCTTCCCCTACCTACCTCCCTAATATTCTTAAGAGGGTCTGTTCTCTAATCTTTGGAGAGTAGCTGGAAGTAAAAGGTAAAGGGACCCCTGACCATTAGGTCCAGTCGCGGACGACTCTGGCGTTGCGGCGCTCATCTTGCTTTTCTGGCCAAGGGATCTGGCGTACAGCTTCCGGGTCATGTGGCTAGCATGAGTAAGCTGCTTCTGGCGAACCAGAGCAGCACACGAAAACACTGTTTACCTTCCTGCCGGAATGATACCTATTTATCTACTTGCACTTGATGTGCTTTTGAACTGCTAAGTGGGCAAGAGCAGGGACCGAACAACGGGAGCTCACCCCATTGTGGGGATTCGAACCACCGACCTTCTGATCGGCAAGCCCTAGGCTCTGTAGGGAGGCAGAAAAAGGTCTTCCTTTCCTTCCACTCCACAGTTTTAATCTGAAATCTTAGGCACAGTACTGCGCTCAGAGCTCAGAAACTGCTCACGCTAATGAAATTCCGTGTCACAAAATGCGCATAGAACAATGACAGTTTTGAACACTGGTTTCCACATTATATTAGGGACACTTAAATATGATCAGTTATCATTTTTATGTCTAATTGTCTCATAATGAAACATGGTTAAGATGACTGAGTTCAGACATGCTGATCCACTTCTGGAGCCACAGTATACCTGTATCTTCTTTAGAGGTAGATACACATTTTCTTAAGCCTTCGGGATTTTAAATTTTAGGGGGGATTTTAATCTTGGAAATTAGAAGCAAGTAAATTTCCAATTTTGATAATTGGATAAAGCAAAATAACAACCCAGAGAAAGAGAGAGAGTGTTCTTGTGTCCTTAACCAGCTGTACACCTTATACTAGTTAAAGTAGTTGGGCTTGAAACGGTAGCAGCATTTTCTCTCTTTTATAAGATGTTGGAATGTATTGAGAATGGCAGGAATATAATTATGAAGGGGTTGTTGCTGGAATGTAAAAGTAGTTTTTGTATGCCATTTAAAAAACACAAATCTAGAAATTGTGGCTGTGTGAGAAAGATAAAATGTTTAGGCATTGGGCTGCTTGAAATACAAAGCTAAACCATGGTTTTGGTGTTACTTAAACAATCCTAAGGACCGCTTTCGTGCCCCTGGCACACATGATCCCACCTTCCCTTGCATGCCACAACACTTCCTTCCTGATTTTAAGCAAATCATAGTTCATCCCCCCCCCCCATTATTATTTTTGGCAAAGTATGGTTTGTGCTTGTGTGTATCCCACTTCTGTTACGTAGAAGTAAGTTTGCACTGGTGCATTGTCACCAAGGCTATGTATACTTCGCAGAACTTATATTATTATTTTAAAATGTGTAGAAAGGAAACCTAAATCCTGTGTCAACTAAAGCTGGTTTTATTTGGAACAGTTTTGCCATTTTATGCTCTCATAAAATTCATTAGACTTCTAATTGTGGAGAGGAGCAAGAAGATATGCAAGGTACTTATCCCTAGACCACTAGAAAATCTGTTTAACCTCTTGTCAGTTAGGCTGTTGGCTTGTTTCTCTCCAAATAATCAAGGGTTTTAAACCACAGTTAAGTTTCAACTATGGTTTAAAGAAGTGGTTCCCAAACTTTTTCGAGCCCCCGTCCCCTTGGTTGCTTAAAATCAACTCTAGGGCTTCCTACCTTACCCTTCTGTATAAAAAGCATTACTGTACAGTCATACCTTGGGTTACAGATGCTTCAG